TTCAAATCAAAACTTAATTAAAAGTAACTTTAAGATAAAACAAGATTTTAAACAAGTTTTCCAAATGTATTCGCTAAATTTGAAAATTAAAAAACCCACTCCACATTGTTCAAAAAATTCCAAAATCCTCCAGATATCAACAAATATATCCTAAGTTTCAAACCCAATTGGTTTTACTTGATTTTCTTATCAAAATAATTATTTAAAATTAATTATATCCAAACAGGTTGTTTTCTGCAGCACTTTAAAGAAATTAATGGTTCTCTTAGTATACACAAGCAATCAATGCAAGGCCAAAAATTTAAGAAACTAGACTCGTAACCGGTTCTAATGATGCTAATTTGATAATTTTCGGATTTATACCCAAAGAGAATGACACTTTCAAAATTACTCTTTTACACCAGTTTTCTGGACAGATTTGAATGCACCAGTTAATATAGATTTTGACTGCCGAAAATTATGAGCAAATTCTGATATGCAATTCAATATGTAATTAATCTACTGTAAAAATTTCAATTCAAAACTCATTCGTTTGATATGATTTCTTGATTTTTAAAGTTTGTGATTCTATGTAGAATTTTTGAACTAAGAATTTCACCCATTCTTTATACATGAATTCAACCCCTCAAATTTCTTAACAGTATATATATATATATATAGACACAAAATACATACACCTACAACCTCTCCATAAATGAATTAAATAACAATAGAATAAGGATAAAGAACAAAGAAAGAAGGGAAGAAAACCTAAAAGGCCACAAGGCACAACACACACAAAGCTTTCCTTCTTGGCTACAACAATAATCTTGATGATTGAATCACCCCTCACTTTCCTTCATAACCCACGGCTGCTAGAGCTGCTAGTGTTGTGAAATAATAAGAGAGTTAGGGTTTTTTTTTTTTTTTTTTTTGTTATCTATATATACAGAACCAACAATCCACTTATTATTATCATCTAACATTATTATTATTATAGTAAATCTTGCCTCTAAATTAGGGATTTCCACCATAAATTTATTTTAGGTTTAAAAATTAATTAAAAGACCCTCCAATAATATTTAATTTGCACTTTAGGATTCACCATCAAAATATTTGAGATTGTAAAATTATTATTATTTAATTATTTACTATATTTTTATATTCGGGTTCTCACATTCTCCCTCCACTAAAAGAAAAGTTTCATCCTCAAAACTAACCTGAGTAAATCATGAGAATAGATGTGGGTACTTCTCGCGCATCTCGTCCTCGCGTTCCCAAGTCGCCTCTTCAACTAGATGATTACGCCACAGTACCTTAACCAATTTAATGGCCTTTGTATGCAACATTTTCTCTTTTGAATCCAAAATTTGAATTGGCATCTCCTCATACGAAAAATCCTCTCTAATCTGAAGTGGCTCATAATCTATCACATACGACGGACTGTACATATATTTCCTCGGCATGGACACATGAAACACATTATGCACTCTTGCCAACCTAGGAGGTAGAGCAACACAGTGCACAACCTCACCAACCTTCTCCAATACCTCAAATGGTCCAATGTATCTAGGACTCAACTTTCCTTTCTTTTCAAACCAAATGACTCCTTTCCATGGTGACACTTTCAAGAATACCGTATCCCCCACATGAAATTCTAAATCTCTCATATGATGATCAACATGACTTTTTTATCTACTCTAAGCAGTCAATAATCTCTCTCTGTTGGTGATAATTTTCTATGTAGCATCCTCCACCAAATTAGGCCCCAACATTTGCCTCTCACCAACCAAATACCAACACAAAGGAGACCTACATTTCCTTCCATACAAAGCCTCATAAGGAGCTACTCCCAAACTGGAATGATAATTATTATTATAAGCAAACTCCATGAGCGACAAATAATCATCCTAATTACCTCTCCACTCCAAAGCACAAGCCCTCAACATATCCTCAAGGGTTTGAATAGTCTTCTCCAATTTTCCTATCTGTCTGAGGGTGATAAGCTAAACTAAAATTTAACCGAGTACCCATAGCTAACTATAACGCACCCCAAAACTTAGACACAAAACGAGGGTCCCGATTTGACACTATTGACATAGGTGCACCATGCAATGTAACAATCTCCTTCACATACAACTATGCAAATCGAGTTAGAGAATAGTTCATGCATACTGCAATAAAATGTGCTGACTTGGTTAATCTATCAACAACTACCCAAACAGCACCATGATTACTACTAGTACAAGGTAATCCGCACACAAAGTCCATGGTAACATGATCCCACTTGCACTCTGGTATAGGTAAAGGTTGTAGTTTCCCCGTGGGTTTCTGATGTTCTACTTTAATCTGTTGACACACCAAACACTGAGCCACAAATTCTGCAATATCTCCCTTCATACCATTCCACCAAAAATGTTCATGAAGATCCTGATACATCTTAGTGCTTCCAAGATGAATGTTGTAACTAGAACTATGTGCCTCCATCATAATCTCCTTCCTTAAATCACCACCAGCAGGAACATAAATTTGGTTACGGAATCTAAGCAACCCATCATCACTAACCACAAAATCTACATGCTTACCCTCCGCCATCTTTTCTTTATTACGCTGACACTGGGGGTCAATCTCCTGAGCTAAACGAATCCGTTCTCTCAAGGTCGGCTGAACTGTCAATTGACTACAATAAGCCTTATCACTAGGCGTAACAACCTCAAGTCTCAAACGTCTCATGTCTTCCACCAAACAACTCTTAATAGACAAAGTAGCTACATCTCCAACTGCGACCTTCCTACTCAAGGCATCTGCAACCACATTTGCCTTCTCCAGATGATATAAAATATTCACATCGTAATCTTTTAGTAACTCCTGCCATTTTCTTTGCCTCAAATTTAGTTCCTTCTGTATGAAAATATACTTCAAACTCATATGATCAGTGTAAATCTCACATGACTCTCCATACAAATAATGTCGCCAGATCTTAAGAGCGAAAATCACTGCTGCTAACTCCAAGTCATGTGATCTAAATATTTTTAATCACACTTAAAAGATGTGATCTAAATATTTTTAATCACACTTAAAAGATGTGATCTAAATATTTTTAATCACACTTAAAAGATGTGATCAAAATATTTTTAATCACACTTAAAAGATGTGATCTAAATCTTTTTAATCACACTTAAAAGGTGTGATCTAGATGTTATTAAGCACACTTAAAAAGTGTGATTAAAAATGACCCCTTTTAATCACACTCCCAAAGATCGCACTTTAATAAAACTTAAAAGGTGTGATTAAATAACATACATCACATAAAAAAAGTGTGATCTTTATCTGTTTTTGTAGTAAAATATTCACATCATAATCTTTTAGTAACTCTTGCCATTTTCTTTGCCTCAAATTTAGTTCCTTCTGTGTGAAAGTATACTTCAAACTCTTATGATCAGTGTAAATCTCACATGACTCTCCATACAAATAATGTCGCCAGATCTTAAGAGCGAAAATCACTGCTGCTAACTCCAAGTCATGCGTATGATAATTTCTCTCATGTACTTTCAACAGCCGTGACGCATAAGCAATCATCTTCCCATGTTACATGAGCACACATCCTAAACCCTGTCATGAAGCATCACTATAAATTACAAAACCACCTCCATCTGCCAGTAAAGTAAGGATTGGAGCTGATGTCAATCTCTATTTACCTCCAAAAATATCTCCAAAATATTAATTTGACCCCCAAACTCTATTTTATTCAAGGGTCTAATTGATATTTTGGGGATAGTTTGAGAGGCAAAATAAAATTTTAATTGAAGTTTAGGTATCACATGAGTAAATTCTGTTTGATTATAAATGACAATTGATGGTAGGGATAAAATTGATGTAAAATCAAATAGTTTAGGTATAAAAATGATATTATTAAAAAGATATGGGTTGAATTGATTTTTGAGTGATCGTTTGGAGGACAAATATTTTCTTGAGATTGAATGGATGTTTTGTGGAGTTCATAGGTAGAATGAATTTAGATTATATCTTGATATTTTTTTAGTAATTTCCTGGGCTAAATTTCGGAGTTTATAATATTACTATTTATAGTAGAAAGAGACTACGAGAGTAGAAATTTAGCAAAGCTATAGACCTAGAAAAAAATACTCATAATTGAATTGTATGGATCAAATTTATTGTTGATATGTGTGATGATCCCGCCACGTATAATATTTTATAGTTGGTTAATTAAGGAGATTTGGGATTTTAACTAGTCGTTATCCTAATTTAATTTGGGATTTATGAGAATTGTGGAATCTGATTCGCATATGATTCTATTAAAAATTTAGTTTGAAATTAGAAATTTAGGGTCCAAATGGCTTAAGGAAGTGAAATTAAGAAGTTGAATCAATTAAATTTTAATTACGGACACATTTGGGAGTTTAATTAAATATTCGATTCAGTTTAGTAAAATTGAAATTCGATTAATTAGGTCCGAATTTGAGTTAATTAAGTTAATTAAATTATGAGGATTGAGAATTGTGATTATTACAAATTAATTTTATTTATGGGGTGTCTAATTTGAATATGTAATTTAATTGACGGAAATTTGGAGTCTGATTAGAAATTAAAAGTCTAAATGATTTGCGAAATCAAAATTGATGATGACAATAAGTTTAATTTAATATTTGGAGCCTTTTGGGAGTTTGATTAAAAATCTGATTCGGATTGATAAATTTAAATATAATTAATTGGGCTCTAAAGAAAGTCAAATTAGACTAATTAAGTGGGATTTGTGATTAGTCATGATTGATTTAATTATGTGTTAATCAAAATTTATTAAGACTAAGTGATGCTTAATTAAATTAATCCTAAATATAAATTAAATTATGAAAGAATCTAAAATTAAGGATGTGTGTGGGTGTGGGTGTGGGTGTGGGTGTGTATGTATGAAAGTGTTGTGCTGGAATATTTTGTGTGTGTGTGTGTGAGCGCGCACGTGTAAGGCTGAACTCCAAAAAAGAGTTTGGCAAAAAGGGTGAGTATGTATTTTGTAGTGTGCTGGAACTCCAAAAAGGAGTTTATGTTCTTCTAACTCAAATATTGTCTTGAGAAAAGAATTAAGGAAACTGTGAGAGAGAGAGAGAGAGAGAGAGAGAGCGCTTCATATTGTGGTCATCTTGCTGGAGCAAACCGTGGAGAAGGAAGAAAGGAAGAATAAAGAAGAAGAGGGTTTTGTAGGATACCAAAATTGAAGTTAAAAATTATGAAAAATTCATCTTAAGGTAAGAAATTTCATTCTCTTTCTAGTGTTGTTTAAATAATCTAAACAAAAATTGATTCAAGGTGAATTTTGAGAGGATTAAAAATGAAGATTTGAAGATTGATTATATAAATTAATAGGAATTGGGTTTTGCATCAAAAATCAAGTTAGGTTGAAGAATATGAGTTATGATTCCTTAAATTTGTAAAATTTGGGTTCAATTTTGAGAATCATTCTTAAATTGAGTTCTATAAATTACATGCAACAAGAAATGTTTGAAGATTGGATCCATGCAATGGAGTATATAAATGATTTTGAAGAAAAAGTTATAACAATCATGAGTTCATGAAATTATTGGTTTAATGATCAATTTGATGGTTGTTTTGGAGATTGAGATTTGGGTTAATCTAGGTTTGAATGTGATGTAAAAATTGGGGATTTTGGTGTTAGCAAATTTATATGTTGAAATTGATTTGATAAATGGTGGATTGGGTATCTCTATGTTCTATAAACGATTTTGGAGGAATTTTATTAATGATCGAAGTGGTTTTACCTAAGTTGTTGAGTTTATGAAAATGTTGATTTTTGACTTTTGTGGTTTAATTGATGGTGGTATTGTGCATATAAATTGGTTGGATATTTAAAAAGGTTAATAACTCAAAAATGCACAAAGGATGGGTGTTGTGGAGATTGGATAAGAAGTTTGTTTGGGTGACTTGAAATTGGAGGAGTTCTTTAGCTTGTCATTCCATAGCATGTCTTATTTAGGATCAATTTTTGTAGATGTTGTAATTTTTATTAAAAGCTTTTCCTTAATTTTAGATCTTATTTACTAATTGTTAGGAATTGAGGAAGGCGTCTCTACACCTCTTGGGAATTAATTCGTAGAGTTTCAAATCTATTCTTTGCTATTTTGGAGGTGAGTATACTTGCCATGGAAATTTACCTTATCTCTATCTTTAATACAAAGTTTGAAAATATTTTTGAATTAAAGGAAGTAACACATTTCATCATGATATATGTATAAGAAGAAAATCTATAAATTTATTGAGTTCAAATGTTGAGTTTAAATAAATATATGATTTCATTTGTATAATGAAACATTAATTTTTATGAGAATTTATTTAAGTCAAGTCCTTCAAAGTTTATGATGATGATGATTAAATGACAATGAAACGTCATGCGAGAGTATTTATTTTTATTGATCATATAACCGAATATAGCCTTTGGGGCCACAAGGGCCGAAATGCTTTGGGGTCTTGGGGACCAAAATGTTTTAAGGACCATAAGGGTCGTACATAAGGGGTCCTAGGGACCGAAACATTGAAATGAGAATTGAAGTACTACGATGACATGAGTTATGTTCCTATGGTTATGTTTTGGGTAACGGTACTGTCACCACCTTAGTCGCGAGGTAACGCAACCCTAAGGCTATGTAGTGGTTCGTATGATGGACATGAAATCTTAATGTATTGAAAAGTTGTATTTTGTTTACTTTCCTTATTCAAATGTATTTTTCCTGCATTATGAGATTCTTTGGAAAAATCTTGATAACGGTTTATGCAAAATTTTCTCAATTTTTATAAATTTCAGTCCAATTAAGCTCTTGTGTATGTTATCTTATTTTGAACCCAATTGGAAGGAGCAAGCTTTATAACTCCATGGGATTGGTATACTCATTGGGCTCTAGCTCATTCTTTTTTTTTAATTAATTTTTTTTCAGATTCCTAGACTTTTGTGTGGCTCGCCTCAACTTGGAAGATTAGAGTTTCTGGAGGATCAAATGTGAACATCTGGTAGTTGAGGTTTTTCTTAGCGTCACTCTAGGATGTAGTTTTATCCTTTGTTTTATGAAGTAGGTTGATTGTAAATGTTTGCTTTGTAAAGTTGGATGTATTGATGAATTCACGAATAGTATGTTTTATTTTGGGGGTAGTGGTGCATGGAAACTATTTTAGTAGCATGATGATATTTTTGTCTTTGCATAGATCATCTCATATATGTTGGCCAATCGAAGGGTCTTATGCACTATTGGTGATGTGACACAAGAATTATACAGGTGATTATTGTGTACAAGTGTTATAGCGTTGAAGTGCGCCCTCTTGGCGGGGATTGCCTTGCCGAGATTGGGTCGTGACAATATGGCCCATGACATATCTAGTAGGTTCAAAATACGATCATTGTGTTTGGTTGATGATTTGGAAAGAAAAAGAAAAATGAAGAAAAAAAAAATTGTTTATATTTCATTCGCATTTTTCTTACATTTGTCATTTTCATTTCTAAATTTTTACCCAAATCCATTATTCGAACACAACCTACGTGTCTATGCACCCATCCAATAATAATTTATAGTTTGTCAATTATTTTCTTATTTTTAGGATTATGTATTCATTTAGTTCCTAAAATAGTACAAATACACCCTTTTAAAGGGGGTTTGCAAAAGGTAAAAATGATACATTTTTATAATTGCAGCACCTGTATCCTTCAAAGCTTTTGGGAAGTGTATTTGAATCCTTTATTTTATTTTGAAAATCTTTGGTGGTGTTGTTGTATCTTGGTTTTGGAGGAGTACAAATCGATTTTAACTTGTTGAGATTATTTGTTCACACTTGTTTACGTTGAAAAGTTGTTTGGGAACTTAGAAATCTTGTTCAGGAGTTGACACCAATCTTAGTGGTGTTGACACTTGCCTTTTGTTGTTGGCCTTAAGGGTTGACACCAATCTGGAAGGGTCGACTCTTGTATGTTGTTGAATCTGGAAGTTGCTTGCTGAAATTTGGTGTCGACACGAGTCTGGGAAGGGTCGACACCTTGCCTGTTGCACTCTTTGCTTTTCTATCTGAAAGGTCGACACCTCTGCTGCAAGGGTCAACACCTGCAAACTTTTTCCAAATTTTAGTCCGGTTTGGGCCCTACTTTTTGGAGATTTTGACTTGATCTTTTGAGTTGACTTTGGAACTTCATTTTACTTTGACCTAGCACTATAAATAGGTCCCTCACATAACATTTTCTTACTTTTTCTTCTCTTCTTCCCTCTCCAAACTGTGAGTCACCATCTTCCTCTCCAAAATCACTTTTTGCTCAAAGATCTTTAGATCTACTCACTTGAAAACATCTCTTCACCTTGCTCCTTTGAGATTAAGTGTAGAGCTTGTTAAGGGCTTTGTTTTGATCGGGGCAAGTTGTTGTTTCGTCGCCATCAACTTTTGGGATTTTATCTCTTCTCTCTCTTCTAAGCTTGAGGTAGGGATCTTTTCTACACTTTCATATGATATTTAGCTTAGTTATTTGTATCTTGTGTAACAATTATGTGATTTGGGGGTGTTTAAGGCAAACCTAGGGTTTGGGCATAAAATGGAAAGATGGATTTTTGGGTGAAGGTGAAACAAATGCTTAGGGGTTTGAAAATGATGTTGTATTGTGTATGATTTGATGATTTTTGTTTGGGGAAAAGGGGGGGATCTGCCCTAATTGAATCAAATTATTATTTTGTATAAATAATGGAAATTGACATTGAAAATGTGAAATTAAAAAGGTATTAATATGAATGGTAGGATTGGTTATGTGTTACTCCATTCTTTGGTAGTTTCGAATAAACTATATGTTATGAGATTTTATATCTGTTTAGAAATAACTGTATTGGGCTATTGGTGGAGGATAGCTATGATTGTTGTAGAAATTGCATGCAGATTAGGTGAATTGAAATTAATCACTTGTGCTTGACATTAAATATGACTATATTTATATACATTGTATATGTATGGTTATTTGAGAGTGGAAAGAGGACGTACTCCATTGTTTGAGTTTGTGATTAAATACATTGCATATGTATGAATGATTGTTTGGGAGGAGAAAGGGGATAGACTCCATTATAATTAAGTTGGCCAGAGTGTCCAGGGTGAAAGTCTCGAAATTATACATGAGTGCCTAGCCCACGGACGAAATATCCGTAAAATGACAATTATAGTGCTTGTATGGCCTACGTTTACATGGGTCCCGTTTGACGGCTGCCTGCAGATGAAATATCCGTAAAAGAATACATGGGTCCCATTTAACGGTTGTCCGCGGATGAAATATCCATGAAGGAAAAGTTTGAAGTGCTTACATGTTGATAATGTGGTTTTAGAACTAATGAGTTGTAATCTCATTTGGGTTGTTAAGAAACGATGAAATTGGCTTATGTAATTAAATGAAATGAAGGGAAATGGCTTAATGATTGAGTTTGGTAATTTAAGACTATACAAAATGTGGATGCCTTTATCTTTGACGTTGTATATGCATAATGTACTTATACCTTTGCTAAATTCCATTTACTGTGTTAGATGGTTTCTGCTGGGCTGTGGCTCATCCTACTTAGGAATAACATTTTCAGGCAATGATGGCATGCCTCCACTAAGGCAATAGCGTCTGAGAAACTTTTGGAAGCAAGTGATTCTTGTTTTGATTGTATATTTTTGTGAAGCCAAGGGCTTAAGATGTAATGAGCGAAGCTCGCTTTTGATTGTAACCAAGATATATCTTGGAAAATTGTAAGCTTGTAGGGTATTTAATTTGTTGTTATTAATTTGCATTACATGCTGTAGATTCAGAATGAACGTTTATGAATGTATAATGCATGTAATCCCTTTTGTATACATTTACATAGGTCCCATTTGACGGCTGCCTGCAGATGAAATATTCGTAAAAGAATACATGGGTCCCGTTTAACGGTTGTCCGCGGATGAAATATCCATGAAGGAAAAGTTTGAAGTGCTTACATGTTGATAATGTGGTTTTAGAACTAATGAGTTGTAATCTCATTTGGGTTGTTGAGAAATGATGAAATTGGCTTATGTAGTTAAATGAAATGAAGGGAAATGGCTTAATGATTGAGTTTGGTAATTTAAGACTATACAAAATGTGGATGCCTTTATCTTTGACGTTGTATATGCATAATGTACTTATACCTTTGCTAAATTCCATATACTGTGTTAGATGGTTTCTGCTGGGCTGTGGCTCATCCTACTTAGGTATAACATTTTCAGGCAATGATGGCATGCCTCCACTAAGGCAATAGCGTCTGAGAAACTTTTGGAAGCAAGTGATTCTTGTTTTGATTGTATATTTTTGTGAAGCCAAGGGCTTAAGATGTAATGAGCGAAGCTCACTTTTGATTGTAACCAAGATATATCTTGGAAAATTGTAAGCCTGTAGGGTATTTAATTTGTTGTTATTAATTTGCATTACATGCTGTAGATTCAGAATGAACGTTTATGAATGTATAATGTATGTAATCCCTTTTGTAATACGAATTCTGTTATGTGAAAGTATACCAATTATGTTATATTCATTTCTCTTATGAGTTGGGTTATTTGTATTAGTTTGAGGGCGTTACAATAATTGAGGGAGTCAAAATATACGAATTCATAAATGAGAGAAATAAAATGACATTCGCTAATAGTTGAGAGAATCTTGATATAAATAACCCAAATCACTATAATTGAATCTTTACATATACTAGTTTTAATAAAGTTGAGTATGAGAAACAATATGGTATACACCCCTTCAAAGTGTGTGCATTATATGCGCTTGTTACGTATTTTTGTTGTAAATGTTTGGTGCAGAAGTTTAAGTCTAAAGGAAACCATGTCAAGTTATGGGAGTTAGTACCTTGCTAACTCAGTTATTTGATTGCTATCCAAAGTTGAGGGTGCTAATTAGGGCTGCAAATGAACCAAATTGTTCATGAATAGGCTTGTTTTGGTTCGTTAAGGGTTCAGCTCGGCTCGGCTCGTTTAGTTGAGCTCGAACATTAGGTTAGTTTAGTAAATGAGTCGAGTTTGAGTTCGAATAAGCTCGGCTCGTCAAGTTCGGCTCGTTTATCTTTATTTAAATTATATAAATAAATATATTATTTATATATTAAATTATATAAATAAATATTTTTATTTAAATAATATTTAAAAAATAGCCAAGCCAAGCTGAGCCGAGCCGAACTCGAATTTCATTAATATTAACGAGCCAAACCGAGTTTGAGCCCAGTTAGTTATCGAGCCGAGTACAAGTTCAATAAATGAGCTTGATAAGCAAACAAGTCGAGCTCAAGCTCGGACCGTTTGCAGCCCTAATGCCAATCTAGTTGGAATGCTCTAGAGATGGTTGTCATCATCATGTTGTTTTGATAGTGTTTTTGAGTATTATTAATAAAATTCCCTTTTCCTTTTGTCGATCAGAAAAAAAATATATTATGTATTACCAATTATGTTATATTCATTTCTCTTATGAGTTGGATTATTTGTATTAGTTTGAGGGCGTTACAATAATTGAGGGAGTCAAAATATACGAATTCATAAATGAGAGAAATAAAATGACATTCGCTAATAGTTGAGAGAATTTTGATATAAATAACCCAAATCACTATAATAGAATCTTTACATATACTAGTTTTAATAAAGTTTAGTATGAGAAACAATATGGTATACACCCCTTCAAAGTGTGTGCATTATATGCGCTTGTTACGTATTTTTGTTGTAAATGTTTGGTGCAGAAGTTTAAGTCTAAAGGAAACCATGTCAAGTTATGGGAGTTAGTACCTTGCTAACTCAGTTATTTGATTGCTATCCAAAGTTGAGGGTGCTAATTAGGGCTGCAAATGAACCAAATTGTTCATGAATAGGCTTGTTTTGGTTCGTTAAGGGTTCAGCTCGGCTCGGCTCGTTTAGTTGAGCTCGAACATTAGGTTAGTTTAGTAAATGAGTCGAGTTTGAGTTCGAATAAGCTCGGCTCGTCAAGTTCGGCTCGTTTATCTTTATTTAAAATATATAAATAAATATATTATTTATATATTAAATTATATAAATAAATATTTTTATTTAAATAATATTTAAAAAATCTTATCAAGCCAAGCCAAGCCAAGCTGAGCCGCTGAGCCGAGCTGAACTCGAATTTCATTAATATTAACGAGCCAAACCGAGTTTGAGCCCAGTTAGTTATCGAGCCGAGTACAAGTTCAATAAATGAGCTTGATAAGCAAACAAGTCGAGCTCAAGCTCGGACCGTTTGCAGCCCTAATGCCAATCTAGTTGGAATGCTCTAGAGATGGTTGTCATCATCATGTTGTTTTGATAGTGTTTTTGAGTATTATTAATAAAATTCCCTTTTCCTTTTGTCGATCAGAAAAAAAATATATTATGTATTTTTCTGGTAAAAATTATGGCAATTTGCCGTTTAGAAATGAAGTTATGTTTTTTGTAGTATTGT